CAGAAACACTGTATTACATTGAACTCTAATGGTCTCAAAACAAAATACTCATTTTCATTTTTTCTGCTTCAAATTTCTGTGAATCCTGGCATGGTTCCAACTGGCTTGGTGATTTATAGATACTGTCTCAAGTCAGTTCAAGAGAATGAATACGGTCCTGTTGACTCTAAGATATACACGGTGAAGAATCTGCAGCAGGACGTTTACACAGCTCTGTATTTAGTTAACAATGTAGGAAGAAAGAGGAGCTATCACTAATCACCTGAGTGTGATTTCACTTTTCCCAAACAGTATGCATTTCAATTCTGCTACACAAAAAAACACGGGGAGAGGAAATTCAGAAAACACAACAAAGTAAACAACCCACAATAAACCCAAACAAATAAACAAAAACCAACAAAACATATGGGTTGGGTGTGGTGGTAAAAGCCTTTAATCTTAGTCCTTTTGAGGAGATCTCTGTGCTCCAGGTTGTTTTCTTTAGCTAAATTTACATTCTATCCAGGGAATTGTGGTGCCGGTATAAGCCAATGTCTGTGAAGCTTTGCTTACTATGAAGCAATTTAAGACCAATTAAAAAGAAATTCCTACTTATAACTTGTACTATGACAGAGGTCAAGCTGTTATGTAGCAGCAAGAGGAGAGGTAGCAAAAGAAGTAGGGTAAGACTACACACCATGACAACAAAGCTAAATAATATGATCTTAAATTAGTAAGGCTCTTTAAAAATCAATATTTTATATCTGAATAACAAAAACAGAATGCTCAGAATTTGTATCCTAACAACAGTCAAGAAATGTCCTCTTCCTGTTCTCCATCATGGGACAAGATCAAGACAACAAGGTGAACTCCATGTGGGAACTTCAGTATCTGTGTGGATGAAAGTGGAGACAGACAGACTGACCCTGGCAGTCATGGTGCTTGAGCAGTTCACCGGCCAGACACCTGCACTTTCCAAAATTAGATACACAGTTATGTCCTCTGGCATAAGGAAAAATGAAAAAAATTGTTGTTTACTATACATCCACTGGGCCAAGGCAGAAGAAATCTTGGAGAAAGACCTGAAGGTGCCTGAGTAGGAGTTAAAGAAAAATAACTTTTCAGATACTGGAAACTTTGGTTTTGGGATTCAAGAACACATTGACCTGGCCATCAAATGTGACCCAATCTTTAGAATCTATGGCTTGGATCTATATGGTGCTAGGTAGGCCAGGTTTCAGCATGGCAGATAAAAAGAACAGGACAGACTGTATTGGGGACAAACAGAATTAGCAAAGAGGAATCCATGTACTGGTTCCAGCCTAAGTATGATAGGATTGCCCTACCTGACAAATAAGTTTTATTCAAATGGCCAATACAATTTTCTCAGAGAAATGAAAAATAAAAAAGGAAGAAAATATAAAGTTTCTACTAATCAAATAGAGATCTTGTCCTCAAGGAATTTAGATTGAATTCAATACTCAAGACTTCTGAGCCCATTGTGGTGATGCATGCCTTTAATCTGAGCAGTTAGGGGGAAAGGCAAAGATCTCTATGAATTCAAGACCAGCTTGATCTAAACAGTAGATTCCAAGTCAGCCAAAGGCTATGTAAGTGAGACCCTACCTCATCTCAATGCAGACCAGCTAACATATATGCAGTGGTAAACACGAGATGATGGTATTGTCCCGCCTGACACATTTTATCCAAAAAGCTGATAAAATTTTCTCAGAAAATGAAAAAGAAAAAAAAAAAAAATCAAGACTTTGGAGGTTCTGTCCTACTGTGTTAAGAGTCAGAGAGTACTTAGAAACTCTCTCACCAGCAATGTACTTCAGTAGGCAGAAGAATCTCACACTTGCATATACTTGCCTCCTTTTACATAGCAAGAGGCATTAATACCTCACAATGGTACTGATTTAGGTAAATTCTTCTATTTCATAAAAATGAAATTTTAGGGCTTAGAAAATGGTTTTAAAATTGTTTGTGCGAACACATATTCATATGCATAATTATGAATGTGCAGGTCAAGTTATCAGTCCTTGCTTAAAATATGTCCAGCTATGTATACAATGTTAGCTGGCCTGCATACTTCTGGTGAATTTCTTGTCTCTGCCTCTGGGATAACAGGCCTGAGCTGTGTTCAGCTTTACGTAGGTTCTGGGAAACACACTTAAACGTAGCACTTATGCTTGTAAGGCAGGTACTATTAGCCACTGAGACATCTCCCAGGCTTGATTATTTTGTAGACAAAAACAGAATTTAACTTATGGGACTGGGCATGTTGGCTGAATGATGAGTGCTTGCCTAACATTCAACAAGGTTGGATGGTTACAATGAAAAGGGGAAAATTTACTCACAAGAAAGTCACATATATAGCAATAGAGTTCAAAAGAAAGTTAAGATTTTGATGTGTAGCCTTTATTTATTAAAGCACCTAATTACTAACTACTTTGGATAACAATATCTAAATTAAAAGTATTTATTAACTAGCACTACATTAAACAAGTCTAGAATACAACTCCCAGCTCCATAATATAAAATGGGGAAATTATATTATATAGATTTCCACTTTCCCTTTATTCATCATTGATTCAACAAAAATAATTACTATGAAGGTAAAAACTATTTGAAGGTGTGTCTTCCTACATGGTCTTAGGAACTTTGCAGGCTGATCCACTTGCCTCTACCTCCTGCATGCTAAAAACATAGGAATGTGCAAGACACCTAGAGCTTTATGTGGTGCTGGGAATCAAATCTGGGGTTTTATACATGGTATGCAAGCACCCTTAGCAACTGAGCCACATTCTCACTCTGAAGAGCTATCTTTCTTCTTTTCTCTCTCTCTCTTTTTTTAAACAGGGTCTCAGTATATAGTCCTGGCTTCTAAATGCTGAATTTAAGGTATGGTATTATCAACTCACCTGGTCCCTGAAAACGTTTTTTAACTCTGTAGGCTTACCCATGTAACAAGCATTGCATTTTCACAACCACATTAAAAAAAACAAACAAACATACACACACAAACACACACACAACAAAAACCTCTTGAAGTACGTTTCCTTCCATAACTGAGTCAAATTCTGAAGGGAGAGTAACCCTCCCCACTGCTTAAGAGACAAGCCACTACACTGTTTACCAGGGAGAGGTTTTTTTGTATAAAGTGTTTATGTTGTTTAGAGAAAATACAAACATTTTTCTTAAGAGCAAAGATAAATATGGCAGGAAGATTTCTTAAAGAAGAAATGAGTTTGACCATGTATGTTTTATGATGCCTGACGAAGTAGCTAACAAAAAAGTATCAAAGAACCTTGTTTAATACTCTGGTGTATCCAAGAGGCTTCCTCATTGCAGTTGTCTGGTTCTACCAAGTTTCAGGCTGGCTAGAGCCACACAGTGATAATACATCTCACAGAAACCCAACATTAGAAGAGCATGAAATCCTTGTATACTTTTTTAAAAGAGAAGCCTGACTGGTTCTGTAAGCTGGTTTTTATATTTAACAAGACGTATCTTTGTGTATATCTGTAGTTCTTCAATGATACTGCAGCACCCTTCTATTGATTCATTCTAATTTAAGTTAATCTGCAGGAAGATGCTCACACTGTTATTCATTTTTGGTACTCTGCAGTGCTATACTGAACATTGTACTTACTGAGAACTTTGTTCACGCATATGTACAGGAGTCCTTAGATGGTATGAGCATGTTTCATATTCTAAATAAACCATCCTCCAGAAAATTAAAGTCATTAAAGTCTCAGACACCGGGGTTGATTAGCACGGTAAGACGGCTATGTTATTTATCCCCAGGATTATCTTATATAGCAAGTTCCAAAAATACTAGATTTGCATATCACATGAGTACAAAAGCAACTTATTTAATATAATTGGTGATAATGAGAGGGGCCTACTTATCCTAACAATAAAGTTTGTGGAGGGGCTCAAGGTCTTTTTTTTTGCAAGATTCAGATGAATAAAAGCTTTATAAGTCACCAAATACTAGCCTGCTGGGTAATGTTCAGACATGAGTTACACAAGTGCTTATTTAAAATGTTTCAGCGGAAGAATTCTCATACATTACTGGGAATACACATTTCTCATATGGAAGAATGAATAGCATTCTTACATATTGTTTGTCATCACATAAAAATGGGTAAAACACAGGAAATACTCCCCCCAATCAAGAAGACAAAAATCCATGTGGTGTTCTGCACACTGTCTCTGGAAAAATAAAGAACTAATTATAATTACATCACATCACTGGTGACCAGCTGTTCTTGTTTTCACTTAGTGGTCTCTTAAGACTACATGGGGAGTTGTGAGTGGTGATAGACTTCAGACAGACTCATCTACTCCCCAGTAGAAAAATAACTCAGTAACAATGGCTGAGTGTCAGAACAAAAACATGTAGCTGTTTAGACAATTTCTATTTTAAATGCAAAGCCAACATAACTTTGAAACAGGTCATAAGCACCACCAATAAAAACTTAATACTGGGGCTGGAGAGATGGCTCAGTGTTTAAGAGCACTGTCTGCTCTTCCAAAGGTCATTAGTTCAATTCCCAGCAACCATGTGGGGGCTCACAACCATCTATAATGTAAACTGATTCCCTCTTCTGGCGGATGTAAATGCAGATAGAACACTCATATACATAAAATAAATAAATCTTAAAAAAAAAGAAAACTTAATACTGTATCACCCACTACCCAAATAAACCTAACTGTACTTATGAAAACGAAACTAACCTTAGAATCCTTGGTTATTTAAAAAGTAACAGTAACAGAAGGTAATAGCTACTTCAAAGAAATATGGATAAACATGAGTGAAAGCTTTGTCTTCATAAAAACTAGCTTGTATTGATCACACAGCCACTGACAAAAATGTAGTCTTTGGGATGGAGAGTGTACATATTTTTCTAGAAGCCCATGAGAATGAATGGAATTAGACAGCTACTGATTTGGTCTAAGACCCAAGACCTTTGACAGTTCCTATCATCCAAAACATCAAAAATATTTAATTAACCTTCTTGTATAAGAACTGTACTAAACTTGCAGAAATTAGGACAGTATCTTGGTTTTTGTAATAATGCTAGCAGACTACACACAAGAATAAAAAAAGTAACTGCACTGGATCCTCTTTCTTAATGTCCAGTGTCCTTTGTTATCTTTAGACCAGCAATCCTCAACCTATAGATCATGACCTCTTCTGGGATCACATATCAGGTATTTATATTATGATTCGTAACAGCAAATTTACAAAGTAGCAACGAAAATTTTATGGTTGGGGGATTCACCAAAACATGAGGATCTGTTTTTAGAGGTTGCAGCATTAGAAAGGAGTGGAAACTGGACACACTCTGTGACTTGTATGAGGCTTTGACTATCACACAAGCAGTTATTTTTCTCACTACAAGGCGCAAGGTGGACTGGCTCACTGAGAAAACGAAGCCAGGGACATCACAGTTTCTGCTCTGCTCTGCATGGTGACATGGACCAGAAGGAAGGAGATTTCATCATGAGCGAATTCCCATCAGGGTCAAGTTGCATTCTGATCACTACTGACTTGTTGGCTTGTGAGATTGATGTGCAACAAATGTCCTTGGTTATAAACTATGACCTATCTACCAACTGTGAAAACTATATTCACAGGAGTTGATAGCGGCAGTTGATGAGATGGTGCACAGAAATGGCACTGACATAATTTAGGATATGGAATCATAAGAAAACAGCACGTTTGAATAAAGAATGAGTTGAATTAACAGACAAGGTCTATTTGGGAGGAAAGGTGTGGCTACAAATTTTGTTACTGAAGAAGAGGATTCTCTGTGACACTGAGACTTTCAGACTACAGTGGAGGAAATGCCCATGAATGTGGCTGACCTGGGATGAGATAGTTTTGAATGCAGTGCTCGCTGTTGCTGAATAGGCAATTACAATGCGCACTGTGCTTCTTTGAGAATATTTGAATCTTGTTTCAATGCTCATAACAGATCACAAATACAGATTCTGAGAGCAAAGCGACTTTCGTCCTGAGCTCTTGTGAGGCATTGGCTTTATCCTCTTTAGAGATAAGCTGTTGGGGGTGGGCATAAAAAGATAGGGTCTGTAAAACCTTTTTTCCTTAGAAATTCATTTCCTGTTATGTAGAAATGGTTGTATTACATGTCCTCTACCATTTAATAATATACTTCTGGACTAAAAGATGTGTGTTGTATAAAATCAGCTAATTATATTAAACTAGCATATTTGCCTTTGTGTTTGTTATTAGCCTAATTAGAAAGTCCTTTAAAAGTGATTTTTAAAGAAAATATTTCTATTTTGTTGGTATTTTATTTATTCAATAAAGTATTTAATTAGTGCTAAAAAAATTTTAGATTATGAGCTGCAAATATTTTTGCAGAAGACCTTAACATAAAAAACTATTCTGAAGCTTTGACATGGACACAATTTTTTTTTAATCTAGTTTCAGTAAACATTGCACTGTATTTGGAATAAAATATCTTCATACTTGAAAATTTTAGCTTCAGGGCACTGGTAAAGTAGTACTTTTGCTACTCTGAATTCCTATACAAAACATAACCACAACCATAAAGCACATTAACATTTTTTGTAGTTATTTTATTGTCTCCTGAATCATTTGTTGTTTTTCTAGTCATACCTTAAAACAAGTAAGGAGTTTACTGAATGAAGTAAAACACAAAGTATCTTAGAATTTCTATGCATCAGTTATTTTCCTTTTCATTAAAACACCTTCTACTTATGAATTTTTCTTGAGCAAAATAATGAAGACCAGGTTGGCCTCGAACCCACAGCAATCTGTCTGACTCTGCCTCCCTGAGTGCTGTGATTAAAGGCATGTGCTACCATGCCCAGCTGAGCAAAATATTTTCAAATGAATGTTTTACCACTGCTTTGTAACCAATGTAAAAACTAAGATTTGATTTGAACATGATTATGTGGCTAAAGATGACCTTGAATTCTTGGTTGTTCTGCAATTATCACCTCCGAAGTACAAGACCTATACCACAACACAGGCTAAAAATTTATTTTAAAAAATTCCATGTCCCTGGGCCAGTGAATAAGACACTGTGTGGATTCCCAGTATCCACACAGTGGAAGAAGAGAACCAAACCCAGCTTCTGACCTCTACACAAGAGTCAAAATTCACGCAGCAGCAGCAGCAGCAGCAGCAGCAGCAGCCGCCGCCGCCCTCGAACTTACAGGGAGCCACCTGCCTCAGCCTCCCTGATTGCTGGGATTAAAGATGTGCCCCAACATACAAGGGGATGGGGGGATTCAGATTTCAATGCTTATAAACCAACATTTACAACTAAAAAGCAGAAGATTCCAGTTTTCTGAGAGAAAAATAAAAGCTCTTTTAAAGTGCAAAAACTGGCCAGTGTGGTGGTACATGCCTTTAATATTAACACTCAGAGGGCAGAGGTAAGCATATCGCTCTGAGTCTGGTCTGGTCTACATAGAGTTCCAGGACAGCCAGAGATACACAGTGAGACCCTGTCTCAAAACAAACAACCCACAAAAGTAGAGAAGCACTGTAGAACAATACTATGAAAAACTAGCAATGCTTTTGCATAGGATTCTTTATTTTCTATCCTAACAGACCACTAGCAATTTACAACCTGGCCAATTACCACTTGCCCCTAAGAGTGACAAACCTAACATAATTCTATAAATTCAGGTTTTCTAATTTTCAAGATTGCTTTTTCAATTATAAATCCCAACGCTTAGAGGAAACAAACACACTGGCTCTCCATTTGGCTTAGTACCAATATTCAAAGACCTTTAACTAATCCTGGATGTTTGTAACTGGCTTGTTTTTCTACCAGCTTTCAAACATAATACATTTTAGCTATTACTTGAGTACATACACTCACAAATTCCTGCCAATCCTGCTTTAGTGAACTGGTCAAAGGAGACAAAATATTGGCCTTCACTTTGGCTATCAACCTGCTGAATTTTAAATACACTTAGAAAACAAAACAAGGAAAGATAAAGTTTAGGGGCTATCATCATTCCTTATTCTTCTGAAATTCAATTAGGAAGTCTTCTGTGACTTCCAGACCTGTTATAATTCTTTCTAAAGAGTACTTTTAAAAAAGCTTATCAAGAGCAAACGGAGTGCTAATATAAATAAAGACGAGCTGGTTCTAATACCTAGTAGCAAAGTTATTTCAATCCTCAAAAATAACGGAATTTATTTTTTATTTATTTATTTTGCTCAGACAATAACTGCCTCATCGGTGGGCTTCACGGTAGTTTATTGCCTGTCCTCTTCCAGACACCCCCCCCCAAAAAAAAAACTTAGTTGAGTCTGGCATGTTGCTCTCTTATGAAGCCAATTCTAGGATACCTGTAGTTCTTACTATTTTAAGGAGTGGTCACTGATGTCCATAATAATCTGATAAAGACTAAAAACGTTCCCTCAAAAAAAAAAAAAAAAATAGAGAAAAAATATGATCTAAAAGTGTTTAGAAACTCATATGCTTTTGCTCTCTATACCCTCTTCTGAATTGCAACAAGCGGCAAGCCTGGAATAAGGGAGGCTCAAAAGTGACTTATAATGTATAGATATTTGTTAGAAGTTATTGTCTCCCATTACCAAGGATTTGCAATCACTATAATAAGGGATAGTTCTCAATGACTTCCTATTCATTTCTCTTTCTATATATAGTCTATGGCGCAAAAGTCCTATGCAATTCTGACAAAGAATCTTGATCAAAATGTATCCAGACAACCAAGGAAGTGCAGGTTTTATCAGCAGAGTAAAAGGATCCAGAAATGAGGAGGATGTGGTATAATGAAAAGATCTTGGAATCAAAAGATTTGACATATTGTATTACTTAGCTGTGTGGTCATTCTTACTAAATCTTATTGCAATTCACCTCAGTGCATGGTTCTAAGAATTAAACATGGTACAGAACCCAAATTTTGGTATACAGCTTTCCAGTACTAGGAAGGAACAAAATAGGGGATTGGATGAAAACAAACAAGGAACTGCTTTCCTTCTTCTAAGGTAACTATTTCAAGTGGAGGAGAGGATCAAAACTCTGTCACTAATGATGCTCAAGTGTGAGTAATGCACAGCATACTTAAGTGCCAGGTCACTGTTCTTAGGTAAGTCCTCAGCATAGATCTCATGATATTTATGAGATGCTTCTCCAAAAGTTAAACCAACTCAAAGATACAATATATATTATAAACATATTAACAGTTAACAAATTTGCTTCCTAAATTTCCTGGTCAAGTATGCTTTCCAAACTTTGTAGACCTCTTTAAAAGTTTAAAAATCATGATATCTATCAGTTTGGTCTATAGAGCAAGTTCCAGAGCTGCCAGAACTACATAGAAAACCCTGTCTCAAAGAAACAAAACAAAACAAAGCCCCCAGAAAAACAAACAAAGCAAAGCAAAGCAAAACAAACAAATCTATACAGGCCAATATATTCTTTTGAGCCACTCTATTTTGTTGTTGATAGGAACTATGTGATGGTCAGGAGATAAACTTGGCTCAGAGTACACATAGTAAACAACAGGGAGAAACCAAAACATCTGGTTCTGTTTGGGGTTTTGTTTGATTTTATTTTGAGACAGGACCTTATTCTGTAGCCCAGGTTGACCTCCAAATCTTCCTGTCTTACCTACACTAACAAATATTCTGATTACAGGCATCCCCATTGGTTCTGTTAACCACTACTATAATCTGCTTTACCAGGTCCTACCATGGTCAACTCTATGAATACTTTTATTTTAAATTGAAACTGTAAGTACAAAACTAAAATAGTATATAGAACTCCATCTAGTCATTATCCAGTTCCAACTAACACCTACAACTGATTTTGCTTCATTATCTCTTCATTCCACAGCAAATACAGATAATCTACTATTCATAAATAATATTTCAGCATATAATTTTAAAAGATAAAGTTCCTTTATCTTTTTGCTTGACTTTAGATTGCCATTTTGTCCTTTCCTACATTTCCTATATCTAAAATACTGTTATCTAATACAAATTTTGGTATTATTCAACCTCCAACCTCAAAATATTTTTAAAAAAGACTGAATTTATGAATAAACTGTCAAATGTGTTTTTATCCATCAACTACTTAAAAAGCAAAAGTTACATTTCTATGGTTAAGGAATACCTGGACTTGGTG